TGTAGGGAGGAGGAGTAACTGAGCAATCTGTTCTCCTGCAGGGATGGCAACAACCCCACTGCCCACTGATGTCATTATTTTAATCTCCCCCTCACTATCCTGGTCTATAACACCGGGGTGTACCTGGATGCCTCGAAGAATAGTACTGGACCATCCCAAGAGTAGTCCGACCGTGCCTGGGGGCAATGGCCCATGCACCCCAGTAGGGAGGGCCTGGATCCCCATTTCTGGTGTTAGGATTGCCCGGGCAAAGGGAGCGAGGTCCAATCCTGCACTCCCAGAGGTGGCTCTAAGGAGGTCTGAGATATGAAGGGGTTGCTCTGGGGGAGAAAATGAGTCCTGTCACTGCCCGGAGCAGGGGTCATTGCCCCGTACACATTGGTTTTGGGGCCCTGGGGCGGGGCCCTCCTCCCGTTTCCCTGATTATTATTAGCAGGAAGGAAATTTCCCTCCCGGTCAGTTTTAGAGTTGCAGTCATTGGCCCAATGATATCCCCTTCAGCAACGGGAGCATAAACCAGGTCTCTTGAGACCCGTAGTACTATTTTGAGGGCACTCTCTGTGGAAGTGTCCCTCCCTGCCGTAGCTGAAACATGTTTTTCTCCCTCCCAGAGTAGGTCTTTCTTTCCCCACTTGGGGCTGAATAGCAGCAGCTAACACTTGGCCCTGGATGAAGTTCCCATCAATGTCCCTACAGATCCGGATATAGTCATTTAGACTTTTATTGCGATAGGGGCGAAGGGCTTCCTTACAATACTTATTTGCATTTTCAAATGCCATCTGCTTGATGACTGGCATCGCAGGCCCAATGCCCCCAAATATTCTTTCTGCTACCTGACTGAGACGGTCTACGAAGTCTTGAAAAGGTTCGGAGGGTCCTTGAAGGACTTTGGACAGATGATCCCCTCCTTCCTTGGAAGGCAATGCTTTCCAAACCCCTTGGGCCGCTGCTGCCACTTGGGCATAAACTGCGATGTCATATTGCATTTGTTGCTGAATGGTGGCATATTGACCACTCCCTGTAAGCATCTCCACATTTCTCTGGGGCTGTCCGGCCTGTGCATTTCTTTGGGCTGTCTGGCTGCATCTTTCCTGAAACTCACCTCTCCAAATCAAATAATCTCCCCCCGACAGAGCTGCTCTGCAAAGCTGCTGCCAATCACCAGGTGTTAAATTAAGAGACGCAAAAGATTCCATTAAGGAAAGTGTAAAGGGATCCTGTGCTCCATAATTTAAAGTTGCCTCTTTAAGTTGTTTTATATCCTTAAAATTTAAAGGGTTATGACGCCGAATGACCTGTCCAGAATTGTTCGGATCTGGAACTTCCATTACTGGGGCCACCACCGGGCAGCATTGGACCCCTCCTCTGGGTCTTCCCTCCAGGTCCGAGAAGGACTGGGTTATCTCATAGGAGAGTCCCTTTTTTCAGAGTATGGGGAAGGGTTTCTCTCCCTGTCCTGTCTTTCCTTAATTCGAATCTTTTTTAGTTCTTTTTTAAGGGCCGCGATCTCAGCAAGTAACCGTTCCTTTTCAGACTGTGACGAGTCTGAGTCTGAGTTACTTCCATTTTCTAGGTCTGATAGAGAAGGATATAACTGATTCTGACCGGAGTCCTTCATTTTGGGTCGCGCCCGGAGATCTCTACCTGTTTTTTTGTTGTTACTAAGAGACTCCTCCTCATCCTCACTAACAATGGAGCCTCTAGTTTCAGCCAGGGTCTCTTCATCCTCACTCTCTGCCCCTGAACTCAAGGAGGCTTGAGTCTCCATCTCTTGTAACTCTAAAAAAGCCTCTTTTGTGTCCTGAACTACCTGGCGGTGACGAACCTTATCTGTCGAAAGTGCTCCCCTCACTAATCTCCATAAGGAGAATGTCGTAGGGGGCAAGGACTCAGATCCCTCTTTTCGTAAAAGTCTATGAAGATCACGGTGAACCTCCTCCCAATCTGGAATATTTAAGTTTCCCCCAGTAATGAACCATGGACTGGCTCATTCGATGGATTTTAGAAAGCCTTCTAGGGTTTTAGACTTGACTGCAGTCCCATGTTCTTTAAGTAACTTTTTTAGTTGATACTGTAATGATTCTAGCTTCCCGGAACTATTCCCCATAGTTTCTTAACCCCGTCCACTTACCTCGCTTTCATGATCTTAGTAGGACCTCCAATTGTCACGTCTGCTTCTCGGCCTGTGTCCGAGAACGTGCGGAGGGTGTTGGGGATTAACAACACAGAGACTTGTTCAATGATGTAAAGAAAACTTTAATCAGGCCCCATAAAGGTTCAAGAAAAACTTCCTAAGAAAGGCTCCCACCAGAGAAGCTTCTGCTCTCTCCTCTACCCTGGCTGGTTTTGCTCTGACACCAGAGGTGGATGTGTGTGGGTTTTGAAGGTGCGGTTAGTCTTTGGACAAGGTCGAGGTCAGGGCGGTTTCCGTGGGAAGGCCTTTTCCAGGAACTTATTGTATCGTTTTTAGTAAACATGTTTTTACTAAACATTGTCTTACAGCTGCCTACTTCCAGGCAGAAGGGGAAGTGCGTCTCTGCTCAAGGTCTGGTGTTCCCACAAAGAAGAAATTCCCAAAGATTTCACTTTAGTGGCTCAAATAAGAATTATATAGTTTTTAAAGACATATGTCTTTTGCTCATTTCCTTTCTGAGAGTCTCTATCATCTTCATAAAGTTATTTTTAAGGTCATTGTCTTCTTCTTTATCTGCATTAAGATGTTCAAGTCTTGCTGGTGAAGAATCCCTGGACTGGTGGTTTCATATTAGTCTTTCTGTTATTGAATGTGTTCTTATACTATCATCTTCCCACCACTTCTTGGAGTGAGTGCAGGTGGGGTCTCTCCCTTTTTTGGTGGGTATGGTTCCAAAACTCTCCAGGTGGGTACAGGTGGGTTCAGGATGCAAATGGTAGCAGATGTTACATGACTCTCTCTTCCAGTGGGTGCCTGTCCAAGATAGAAATACTAGATGGCTGGGTCTGCCTCCTGATTTCTCTGTGGGATTCACTGGTGGACTGGGACTGGAGGCTGCATTTCAGGGGACTCAAACAGGGAAAGCTGGGCAGGAAATGGCCTGGCACTTGACTCTTTCAACATGTGCTGGTCCAAGACTGGGATGGTGATCATAAATATATATTTTAAATAAATGAAAATACATAAAATATATAAACATATATGATACATGTGTTTATACAGTCCATATCAGTCATTTCTCTGAGATTAACTGAAAATTAATATTCTAACTTGTCCCTGTGGCAGTCAAGCCACCTGACTGAAGGGTTATGCAAAATTCAGGAGTACAAATAAGAATCATTATGAAAATAATTCAAGTGCTGAGTAGCTATGAAAATAACACACAAAGAATGTATAAGTTTCAGGTTTCTATTAAACTTGCTTTTTGAAGTTTCCATCTAGGTAATGAAAGGTATCAGAGTTCATAATAGTATACTTGTTTAGTAATGCATTGTGAATCTACTATGGAGGAGGTCCAGTTTGCAATAACTTGCTGCCATGTTCACTGTGCTGGAGTGAGTTCCTCTGTGGCTGGACTGAGATAGGTGTGCCAATCTTTTCCCAGAATTCACCATCCTTTCAATGTTCTCAGAAGAGAACATAATTGGCAAACATCCCTACTTTCTAAATTTTTGTCTTTATACCGACTTATTAGTGTAATCTTCACCCCGTCAAGGAATCTTGTGTTTGCAACAGATGGAGACCACTACTGAAAACCACAACCAATCAAAATGCAGAGACACATTGGACACATCTACAAAACATTCCTGTACTTAAGGCTCAGAGAGCATTGTAAGAAAAGGTATAAGAAAATTCTAAGAACCAGAGGATCAAGGAGCTTGGTATGTGACTGTGTCTTCTAGTAATGCCAGAAGCTACACCCAGAAAGTCTTACCACCATGACTGCCTAAAATATGAGCTGAACAAGGACAAAAATAATAGGCATTGCAAAGTGGATAATGAAAGCTTACAAGGCTCAGTCCTACACAAAGATCTGAAGACAACTAAGAAATGCTGAGAGGGAGAGAAAAAGTCTTCCCCAGAAAAGAGCACAACAGATGGCAAGTACTGAAAACATATACACAAAAGTAACATTGTGTAAGCTGAGCAAGTTATAGTAAGGAATATACACCCACATATGTAATGTATGTGCATACCTATATAAATATGCATATATGCATATAATAACAACTAACAAAAAGTAACACAAGTTTGAAAGAGCAGAGTGGTATCTGGGAGACTTTTGATGGAGAAAAGTGAAGCAAGAAATGATGTAATTGTATTATAAACTCAAAAATCAAAAGTAATAATAAGGTTAGCATAAAAATCACAGATGGCTGATATCTACAGCGAGGAAGTGACCTGACAGTTATGTGTGAACCCTTGCAGGAATTAGAGGAAAGACAACAGACTGCAATGTGCAAGAGGAAAGAATATTGCAAAGGAGCCTGTATTTTAAAAGGGTTTCAGCAGCACAGTTCCATATCCACAAGCCATCTTTGTAGGCCCTGAGGAATGACATTGTAAATAAAGGACCCTTAGTGTTTGTTAGCAGTAATATACTGAAGGAAGTTGGAAATTGTTCCAAAAATTTCTGTTGTTCATTCATGCTAAAATTATTGTTTGCTTCTACCTACAAGTACTACTTTTTAATTATCTGCTCCCTGGAATGGTGTCTCAAACCCAAGCCAGGCTCTTGGTGCAGGTGTGACTGGGGCTGTCCCTCCAACATTGTATCTCTTTTCTCAGCACCTTCCTTAGTTGCAGTAATAGCCTAAGTAAATGTTTCCTTCAGGCAGAAGGCTTTAAACGCTGCTGTAACCCCTAGTCTACTGGTCAAATCAGAGGAGTTACAATTGAAGATACATCATATTGCTATTGGTGCAAATATGAGCTTGAATATGGAACTCAGAATGTGTGAGAACACCACTAGCAATAAGCAGAATCTGAGAAGATAAGTTATTCATTTTTTCCATTTGTCTTTACACAAGGAAGAACATTAACACAGTCCCAACTATCACAAAGTAAGCATCCAGGATTCCTAAATTTGAAAAAATTGTGGGAGTCAGCACACTAGGGTGCAAGGTATAAGACTCATCATCGTAAAACCATCTCATGATCCTGGTGTCTCCCCACCAGCGAAGCATAGGCATGTCATTCTTTAAGCCATTTATCCATGTTACAAGCATACCAATTGAGAAAGCATCACGGAGGAGGAACTGGGTTATCCATTACTTCCTACAGCTCCTACACCACACTAACAGTGTGTGCTCACTACACATTGAAGTCCCTGGAATTCCCATTGTGTCTGATCATAGAGGATTCAAATTCATAGAATTCAACATTGTTCTGTCTTCCCTCTTTCTCTGACTGTGACTGGCCCATTCTTTTCTGAACACCCAGTTAGGTCATCCACAGTCATTGAGAGTTTGTAACTTCAATGGCTTGTATTGCCTAGAAGATGGCAGATTTTCAGCCCTACTCCCTCTCTGATGGCTCTCAAAATATTTCAGCCAATAGCAGGTATGGATTTTTCTCCTATGCAGTGATTGTCAAACCCAATCAGAGATCAATTGGTTATCCCCATATGATGATTTGAAAAAGAATGACCCCCATAGGCTCATAGATTTCAGTGCTTGATCACCAGATATTGGCACTCCTAGGAAGAGTGACCTTGTTGGAGTAGATGTGATCTTGTTGAAGGAAATGCATCACTGGGGGAGGGCCATGAGGTTTCAGATGCTCAAGCCAGACCAAGTGTCTTTCCTCCTGCTGCCTGCAGATTCAGTTTTAAAACTTGCAATTCCTTCTCCAGCGCCATGTCTGTCTCTGCACTGCCATGCTTCCCACCGTGACCATAAAGGACTAGATCTCTAAACCTATAAGCCAGCCCCAATGAAATATTTTTCTTTTTAGGAGTTGCCCTCGTCATGTTGCCTCTTCACAGCAGTAGAAACCCTAACTAAGATACACTATTAACAACTGTGCCACTATTGAACAAGTACATATATATCTTCTGGCAGGTTGGTGTTATAGTTCACAGGGATCACAGCAGGGTAAGAAAATTGATGCCTTTTTTACCCCAGAATCCCACATAGCATTTTCAACAACTAGCTAGCAGTAAGGAGATTTTCAGCTCTGCTCTAGATCAATTTCTATATATCACACAACTAAGGTAAGTTATGTCTTCAATATTTGATCTCATCAACTAGTTCTTCAGAGCAATCAAAAGGAGTGTGACAGGGGTCTTGTTGGGTAATTAAAAGTTTCAATAAGAATCTTCTCCCAGTTTTATCTTCAGTTTGCTTGCAAGACAGTAGGGTGGTTTTATTTTGATTCGTTTTTTGTTGTTGTTGTTTTTTGTTTTGTTTTGTTTTGTTTTTGAGACAGGGTTTCTCTGTAACAGTGTTGGTACCTGGAACTTGCTCTGTAGATCAGGTTGGCCATGAACTCATAATTACCTGCCTGCCTCTGCTACTCAAGTTCTGGAATTAAGGGAAGGTGTCACTATGTCCAGTAACAGTAAGTATTCATACAGCTTTTTAATACTTCTTTGGTTGGCAGACTCTCTCCTCAATCCCTCACCGCCTATTCCTGCATTTCCTCCCTATGTGTAAAGCTTTCACCACTGGTATTTGTCCTTTACTTTCTTATTATTTATGATATAATATTTGCTTTCCCATAAGGCATCCCCTTCCAAAGCCCTCTTTCTTGATATCCATCATCTATACAGATATTAAGTTAAACACATAGAATTAGAGATTCTAAACTAAGATTCACATATGTGAGAGAATGAGAGATGTTTTCTTTGCTTGATTTATATCACCCAGTAAACGTTTTCATTGATTTACTGGAAAATTAATAATTTCACTTTTGCTTGCAGGTGAATAAAATTCCATTGGGTATATGTACCACATTTTATTATCCATTAATCAGTTAAAAGTTGTCTAGGTTGCCTCCACTTTTTCTAATTATTGTGACTAGAGACTAGAGCAGGAATAAATAGTATGAACAAGTTAGTGGTGGACTATAGTGTCATTTGTGTATGCCCAGGTATGGAATTGCTGCATCATGTGTTATCTCCATTTGAGAAACATATACACTAATTTCTATGATGACTGTATCAGTTTGCACTCTTACATTCAGTGAATATGAATACCCCTTTCTCCCCCTCCTCAATGACATTTGCTTCTTTCTTTGGTATCTCAGAGTTTTCATTATTACTATTTAATTTTTATTATTACATTTAAATATTGTTTTACTTGCATATGGGTGTGTCTGCACACATGCATGTGTGTGTGTGTGTGTGTGTGTGTGTGTGTGTGTGTGTGTGTGTATGTATGTGTGTGTGTAGACTCACACATGCCCTGGGATGTGTGTGGAAATAAAATGAAACTCACAGGAGTTGATTCTTTCCTTCCATCATGTGGGTTTTGAGGATTGAACTTGTATTGCCAGGACTGTCGATGGGCACTATTACCTTGTAAGCCAACTTGCTGTTGGCTTTCTGAGTGCTGAGCTTATCAACATCTGTCAGATATTTGGCTATCATTTTTCTTTCTCTTTGTTTTTGAGATTGAAATATAATGACATAATTTCTCCTTTCTATTTCTTCTCTCCAAACTTCCCAAATTCCATTCCTGGTCTCTTTCTAATTCATATCCTCATTTTAAATTAATTATGTTACCTGTACATGTTTTTGTATACACATATATAATAAATATAACCTGCTCAATTTCAATAAATTTTTAAGCTTGAAGAATCTTCACATAAATTTTATTTTCCATTTTTGATAATAATGTCTTGTGGAGTGTTCTTCATTATTCACTAATTAAAAACTAGACTCAACTTCTAAATCCTGTTTTTTCATACTGGATAGTACAGTTTGATTGTCTTATTCCTAGAGGTATTAAGGATTGAATTAGAATTATTTCATATACTATCAATAGTGGATAACACTATAAAATGTATGTGCTGTCTATGATTTATGGGTTCTTTTTAAGAAAATGCATCCTTCTTTAATTTCTAGATCATATGATATTGATGTCTAAAAACTGAGTGTGTCTAAAACTTTCTTGATATTCTGACTGGAGATTGTTGTCTTCCTCTGCTACCAGCTATTTTGAAGGATGATATTTAGTAATAATCTTAAAGTCCTTTTCTATACTTTATTATTATTGGATTAAACCTCTATTTCCCAAATTTGTCTGCTTTCCAGAAAATAAGTCAATTCAATTTTCTTAGTTTTTTTATTTTCAAAAATATCCAATATAAAATTCTCAGTTTCTTTTCAATCCTTGTTCTCTATAGCAATTTGAAAGTTAGCAATGAAAGATCATATTTTATAGACTAGAAACACATGCATTTATGTCTAGCAGTAACTGAAGTGTTGACAGTTGGTGGTAGATGCAGCTATATTAAATTTAGTCAGGTATTGACATGCTTTGAATTATAGACAACCCAGCCATATTTAATATAAATTTACTTTTAAAAATTCAAGGGTCTTCAAGTATGATGATGGCTTAAAAGTAGAGGTTTATGAGAGACACTATAAGAATTGACTGTCAAGTTAATATGAGGAAAAAGTAAACAAGGGTAACCACTGGAGAGTAAGAATATAGAAAGAACATTCCTCTTGCGAAATCTGACACGTTCAGAAGTGCAGTGTTCATAGATTACACATTAAAGTGATCATCATCAAGATTTTAAATTTGGAGATAAAAGTTGGATCTCTCTTTAGCTATATATAAATGAGACCTTCTAAACATACAATCACACACTCAGATGTGTTTATATCAAGAAAGAGAGAGACAATGTTTCTTTACAGAGCAGACATGTGTTGGATATTAATAAAGAAAAGCAAATATTGCTGATGAATGTCAGAAGTAGGTAGCCACACCATTTTCCCTCCTCTTCCTTTGAGGTCTCCACACTATTGAATTTTCAGCCTTTCCCAAGATTGAGAGCTTTCCTAAGAGACTCTCCCTACCCCCATGTCCAGTTCTAGGTTCTCTGTCTCCATCATTGATATGTGGACAGCAACCTATCTTGTGCTTGTGTGCATGCATATAAATGTATATATAAAGATTCGTACTTATACATGTATGTATACTCTCTTATTTTCTGTTTTTATAAAAAGAATGGGTTCTTTGTTGCTTATTTTTCAGGTATATTTTTATACTTTGTTCATCTACTCCAATTCCCTCTCTCATTACCTCTGTCCTCCTGCTGATAGTACCTTCCTCTTCTCAAGGGATTCCTTTTTGCTTTTATGACACATGTAGCTAATGGGAAGATCTTTGGTAAGATAAGGCCATGTAGAAATGCATAGACTAATAGTTATGAGTTAATAATTAAGAGAGAGCAAGCCAATAAGAGCCTAAGCCATTGGTCAAACAATTTATAATCGACACAAGTCTCTATGTGTTTATTTGGGGCTGAATAACTGTGGGACCAGGCAGAATAAAACCACCAACTGCACACACATTTTTCTTTTCACCTCAATAAAATCCAATTATACATAGTATAATATATAATATACATATGACATATAATATATAATACATATATACCACATTTTCTTTATATATTTTTCTGTTGATGAACATTTCTGTTTGTTCAATAATTTATGTATGGTGACTAAACAGCATAAATGGATGTGATAATAACTCTGTGGTATACTGACTTGGAGTCCTTTGGTTATACACAGAGTATTAGTCATATGATAGTTCTACTATTACTTTTTGTCTGGAACAGCCAAACTTACTTTCATAGTGGCAGCAGCAGTTTGCGCTCCAACAAACAGAGAGTAGGGTCTCTCCTTCACCACATTCATTATTTTGCTTTTGGTAGATGATGTAAGCTATCTTGCAAGGGTGACATAGAATATCAGTGCAATTCTAATTTTCATTTCTCTGGGTGGCTAAGGATATTGAATACTGTTTGAAAATATTTGTTGATAATGTATATTTCTTTCCTTGATAATGTTTTACACTGTTCAAAAGCATATTTATTGATTGGGTGATTTGTTCCTTATATTCAAGTTTGGAGTTCTTTATATATTCTAGAAACTAATTCCCTATTCGATAAATAACTGGCAGATGCTTATCTTCTAATCTGTAGCTTATTTCCTAATTCTACTGATTCT